AAGCACACAAACACACAACCATCATGTATTAGCTTTCAAACTAATAATGTGGTCAACACAACATTTGGGGACACAAAATTCCTAGCTCTAACCAAAACTCTACCCAACTCAAAGGGTATAACTATCAAGGCAACACTCCAAAGTCATAAAAATCTATTAAAACATCAAGTCCCCTTTTTAAGCATCAATTAGAGTTCAAACCTCAAGGACCCACTATAGGAATTCAACCTCCAACATCCCATTTGAACAATTGAGGTTTCAACAACAAATCTAAACCGATTAAACATCCAATTTAACCCTCCTTGACATAACCCAATTCACAAAACTCAAAATCAATCTCTACATTGTCATCCTCAATCCCAAATCACCTATTTCCATAAACCCTAGCTTCAAAAACTCAAGATTTAAGAAAACTACACTGATTAAATACTTAGACTAACCCAAAGCAATCAATTAAACTCAAAACAATCGGTCAAAAACCTCAGTTCCATCACAACCTAGAAAATCCTAGGGTTCCACCAAAAATCCTCATAAATTCCAAGAAAGAAAGTAGATTAGAGGTTAAAATCACTTACTTGAGGTAATGGATCTTTAGAAATGTCTTTCCCAAGCCTTAACACCGAAACCCTAGCAGAGCTCCTCTCTCCTCCTTCAGATTTTCTAATTTTCGCACAACTGAACCCTCCAGCATCTATATAGATTCGGGACCTTTCGCCGTGGCGAACCCATATCTTCGCCGGGGCGAACCTATATCTTCGCCGCGGCAAACTAATCCCGAGAGGGATTACTCGCCTGAAAACCCGACTTCGCCGCGGGGAAAGCTTCCCGAGAGGAAACTCTCGCTCGCCCAGAAAACTTCGCCGCGGCATGCCCTTACCTTCACCGCGGCGAAACCTTCCCGAAAGGGAAGCCTCGCTCACCTGAACAACTTCGCCGCAACGTCCCTATGACTTCACTGCGGCCAAACCTGCCCGAAACACAAAGCCTACCTGGAACTCTCGGTGCGCCGCGGCGTCCTCAAAATCAACCAAAAGAGGCTATTAAAACCCGATAAGACTTAGAATGTTACAATAACTTCAATAGATCAAACCACAACTTGGCTGAGGGTATGCCAAATGACGAGTTGACTATGGGAAATGACAAGTTCACTTTAACAAATGATAATTTCAGTAGACCAAATCACAATTTGGCTAAGGGGCATTTTAGACATTTCATCATAATTTTATATTTGCAAAAGTGAAACAGGGTCCTTATTTGTTATTTTCCAAATTAAGAGTCCCAAATCACAATTCTACATATTTGGAGGTCTTTATTTGCAATTTTTTCAAAAACTTACATACAATTTTAGGCTTATATTTAGACTTTTGATCTGTGTTATAGGCTCAAACGTAATTAGCTAAAATCTGGCTTATTTTCATTCTTGGGCTAAGGGACTTAATTAATATGTTAAAGTTTGAGCTCAGCTTGTTAATGTGAAAGTTTGACTTGTAAAGATTAAACTAGAAATTTTTTTTCTTGTGTGATACACAGACTAGAATGTTTGATTAAATTTTAAATTTTAATAAATTGTGTTATCGAAGGTAGCTAAAGATTCATTTCTTATAGAAGTGTGATTTTATTTATTTATTTAAATGATATTTGAATTAAAGATTCGGAAATCAGGAGGAACATATAAAAATTTGAAATCATTATTTATTTCTCTATTTAAGTCCTCAATTGATATACTATTTAATTATGATGCTTTCCATTTAATTTAATATATTCAAATTCAAAATTAATTTTAAATTTCTTCATTTAAGCCTCCAATTGAAATCCCATTTAATAATGATACTCCTTATTTAATTCAATATACATAAATCACAATCAAAATATTATTCAAATTTTATTAATTAAATATATTCAGATGTCACAATTTATACCCAACCCGTTTTTTGAACAAATCGGTATTACAAGTTTTCAAAAATATAGTTGATCACTTGATGACTTATTAACATTTTTCTTATTTTCGTACTTGGACTTATCAATAATTTTCTCGTTATTTTCTTTTAATATATAAATATTTTGTGATAGTCAATATGGCTAATGGATGTGGACTTTAAAGATTCAAATATCATTTTCAATTTGTTAACAAAAGGGGAAAAAAATATCACTTTCACTTTCAACTGATAAGGCGTGGCTAATAGGTCTCTTATCTTGAAAATTAAAGTGGAGAACTCTTCAGTGAATTATGGTTACATCGTTAATTAGGCATTTTTAATTCTATAATATATCATTCAATGAGTCAAGTATATAAGCTATCCTTTTCTTGTCTGAAAATAATGCTTCTTTTTTGTTCAAAATTTAAAAAAAAATTTTGTACAAAACTCATAAAAAAACTGTCCAAGAAATTATTATTATTATTATGACTGAAAATTATTAACTTTCATACATTTTATATCTCCAACAAAACCACAGATTAAAATTTGCAAAAAAAAATGTAAATTAAATTCTACTGCTATTTCATACACACACAAGAGCAGGGGGATTTAGAATTTTTGATCAATTAACTTGTCTTGTTGTTATATATTAAGCATTAAAAGTATGTTCATATTTTGTGATGAAGTGTCATTATATTTAAAAATTCCCTAATTATCATTTTCGATGTAGGAATATCTATAAAAAAAAAATCTAAGATAGAGGCTTAAGTGACGTAAACCCTTACTTCATGTATGGTTCAGTTCTATTATTGAGCCACCTAAAACGACGATGTTGATAACGTGAAATGGAACGAATGGGGCCGTTTCTTTCATGTATCGAATCTTCGTGGTCAAAGTTCATAACTGCAAAACGACAACCTAAAATGAGTGACGTTATTTTGATATCTCAAGACCCACGGCGATGAAACGATGCTTTTTTAAATTTTTTTTTTATGATTTCTCAAAAAAAAATCTAAAATTATGTTTTTATTTAAAAAAATGCTTAAAAATAAAGAGAAAATCATTTTATCACCGTAAAATATTATAACGTTAGTCATTTTATATAGAATCTAATAATCAAAAAAAAAAAATAGATTAACAAAGTAACATTTCAAAAGCCGGGGATTACCGCAAATAGTAGAGGACGTCAGAAGTCTCAAACACGTGGAAGACTTACTGTAGTTCGAAAGCGAGGGGGGGTGGGGCTAGCATATGTAACACCCAAGCATACAAAGAAACAGCTTCGCCATCCAAAATTTAATGACTTGAACTTGCGTTATTAATTTTATCCCTTCAAAGTTTGTATTGTGTGTAGAACTTATGGTATGACACTTTCAATATGTTTTTATTGAAATAAAAAAATCTTTAAATCGCACTAATTCTATCTTATAATTTAATAACGGAATAAAGTACGAATTCATTCTGAAAGTTTGTACTTAGGAATGCTAGGAATTCAAAAATATTTTTTTGAATAGGTGGTCTCTTCAATCTCTTCAACCAAAACAATCTTTTTATTAATTTTGTTATCATTAAAACAAGTTGATTCAAGCTCTCTCTCTCTCTCTCTCTCTTGATGTTGATGATGTGTAAAACCTTATCTTTTAGGTCTTATTTATAACGAAGAGAGAAGATTTTTCTTAATTCTATTTGTGAAATAGTACTTTATAAATTTTTAATATTAATATATTATTTTGCTCTTTATTTATTATAGTATAGATAGTTGTTTTATAAAATGTTTATATATTAAATAAGGATAAAATTAGTTTTGTTATATTAATAAAAATTAATATAGTTTAAATTTTTTTTTTGTGTAAAACATGTTAGAAGTATTTTATTATATCAAGTTATCAAATTCATAAGTTTGCTTCTCTTAATCTATGCAAATAAATAGGAAGCGACAAAGCAGAAAGGGAACAATAAATGATAGAGGAAGAAGACATTTTATTCATCTCAATAGATACTTATTAAATACATAGCCAAGTCATAGTGAAATACAACAAAAGTTCATCATAATCCGCAAAAATTAGGTAACTTGAAGCATGATAACACAGGAAAAACAAAAACAGAATACAACAAACAAATGCGGTACACATTTTCTGCATTTTTTCTCACCCGCATTATAAGAAGAAGATGATGATGATTAATGCAACGGAGATTGATAAATATCTCACATGAAATTACTCCAAACCACTCAATTCCTTTAAGTTATCCAAGGGGATGCTTCTGGAGCCTGCAGGCTGATAAGGGCAGCTCGTGACCGGCTTCGTCCTTTACTGGGGCCACCCAAAACCACGATGATAACTTTAACTGAATGAATGGGCGTTTTCCTTACACGTTGATCATCGGACTCGAGCGTGGAATCTCATTGGAAACAACCAATAAGTGTATAATAAAAAATCACTTAAAATTGGTTAAAATTAATAAATATGAAAGATACATACTACTACGTACCTCTTATCCTTAATATAAAAATTTGGTAACCAATTTACAGATATTAAGAAAATTAGTTAAATTTGTTATATATAATAGATAGATGTTATCTTTGTTAAAATACCTAATCAATCAAATGTATTGAAAATACGCTTTCAGAAACTCCTTCACATATATAATCCCCAATAGAACTTAGGGCAGAATATATAAATATTAAAAATAAAATAGATTAAGACCTTACATTAAAGACTGAAAGCCCTAATTTCTTTTTTTTGAAATATGGTCTTATTATTTGTAAAGAGGTTAAGAGAAACAATAAATAAAGAAAAAGATGAAAGAAAAAATTTAATGAGAAAGTGTGGTAGTAATTAAAACACTGCGAAAATGCATTAAATGTAAACGCAAAATTAAAAAAAAACCATTAAATGTTGAAATAAACTCAAAAACCCCTCCCCCAAAATTTAAAGCTTATAAATAACAGCGAAGCGGTCGAGGACTGGTGTGAAGCAAGAGGAAGTGAGGGCTAGCTGATATAATTATAACTAAGCAGCTTCAACATTCTTTCATTTCATCGGCCACTTTAATCCGAAACGATGGCACAAAGCAACGACGCAGGGAAAGGAATGGTGGTGTGCGTCACTGGTGCTTCTGGCTTTATTGCTTCATGGCTCGTCAAGCTTCTTCTTCTTCGTGGTTACACTGTGAGAGCCACCGTGCGTGATCCAAGTGAGTTATGTATATATTTCAGTTTCATCATTTGGTTGCTCTTGGGAATTTGTAATATTCTGATAATATTGTCTTTAATTACTAATGAAGATGATCCGAGGAAGGTAGAGCATTTGGTGAAACTGGAAGGAGCAAAGGAGAGATTGCATCTGATGAAAGCAGATCTGTTGGAAGAGGGTTCCTTTGATTCTGCTGTTGAAGGCTGTGTCGGTGTCTTCCACACTGCTTCACCTGTGGTTCTTGGTCTCCACGTCGACCCTCAGGTTCATTTCATTCAAATTTAACCATCATTATTACCAATGCATATACCATAGGGAAAATTCAAAATTGGGACCCAAGTAATGAAGCAAATTAAGTATTACTCCGCTCATAAACGTAAAGCTTATTTTATAATACTACAAAATAAGCCGTATATTTAGGATGGGGGAGTATTACTGATGATCTCAATTTGGATAATCATTGTTAGATCATAATTACTCCTGCCCTCCTTTTTTGTAAGAGATGTTCCCTTCTATAAAGGATATTTAGAAGGTGTCTCGAATTTTGCTTGTTGAATTCTCACTTAATGCCTCATAATACTTATATGATATCACGTATATATTCTCTTTTTCTTCACATAAATGATGGTGTTTTGTATTAAAAAAAAAAAGAAATTGTAAAAAAAGATCTTGGAATTGAAAAAACGCAGGTAGGGACTCTTGACAACTTCACTTTGGGTTTTGATAACTTCATGACATATTATTATTGTCAAAACCCAAAGTAAAGTTGTCAAGAGTCCCTATCTGCGTTTTTACAATTCCAAGGACTTTTTTTGCAATTTTTCCTTAAAAAATTATATTTTTTTACGTATTTTTTATTTTTAATTAATTTTAACTAATATTTTGAATAAAAGGAAAGGAGGGGCTAAGAGATTTGATTTGAGAGTTACTCCCTCCGTTCCTTATTATAAGAGACATTTGATGCTTATGGTATGTTCCTATATAAGAGACACTTACAAGTTGTCTCTATTTTTTTGTGTTGATTTACTATTTTACCCATATTTATTATCTCCAACTCACACTCTCTCTCCCTCCCACTTCTCTTTCTTTTAATAATTTAATTGTTCTCTCTCATGCTCTCTCTCCTTATTAATGAGGGCATTTTTGAAAAAAAAATTATACTTTTACACATTAATTGTTCTTAACTAATTTTAACTGTTTTTTTTATCAACGTATTTCGGTTATTTGTCTCTTATAATAAGGAACGGAGGGAGTATTTTTTAAAGGGATGTAAAATTAATTACACCATTAAATGTGCTCTAATGACTAAGTGGCGTTGACTAATGTTGGTCAACATCACCCCATCAACCGTTCGTTGGTCGATCGTTGATTGGCGCTGGAACACCTGTCATTGAATCATATCTACAAATGGCGTGTGTTTTCTGCCTAAGTTATCCAAACTCATGAATAAAGAATTAACATTAAAATATTAATATTTTAAATATTCTTATGAGCAGCTATTAATAATAAATCAAATTTTTGGTATGGAATTAGAATTAATTTACTTGCCCGTAATCCTATGGGTAAATTTTTCAGAGTTAATATCATTAGTCCTTAAAATCTTACCTCATTTTAATTTTAGTCCATAAAATTTAAAACTTAATGGTTTTGATGCTTCAAGACTTCTTCTAGAGACTACAACCATTGTTTCGGGGACTAAAAATATTGAGGCGGAGTAAAATGAGATCAAATGTAAAAAACCAAAACCACTGATTTTAAATTTCAGGAACTAAACTAAAATAATGTCAAACTTAAAAATACTTTTGCCTCTATTCATATATCTTACAAAAGCAAATTAAGGGCATGTTAGGAAAATACCCCCTCTGTGTTGGAGGGCCTTAGTCTTCTTTTTTTTTAAAAAAACAAAGAAGATATATTTTAGTTTTGTCTAATCATTTAATGAGTTTTTTCCCCCTAATTTTACCCTTACCATATGCATTTTATTTTTTCTTTTGGCTATTGACTGTATATACTGCATTATTTATGAGACATGTACGCACTCCTCTCATCACCTTTATCCCCATATATTCTCTTTCTTTTTTTTTTATTGCCTCTTTTACTTATTTTCTTCATTAATAAGGGCATATTTAAAAAAAAAAATACATGCCTTACATATTTATTATTTTAAACTGATTTTAACTAATTTCTTAGTAACTGTAAATCGGTTAAACCATGCTTATATTTTAAAATGGAGGGAGTACATATTAGCACGAATCATATGGGATGTTTTTGGGACTTTCCATAAATCATCAGAGGTTTGGCGATTAATAATGATAAGCTTCTAACTAAGAGCCACTCTTTTTTGAATGTTTCAGAATGATCTTATTGAGCCAGCAGTTAGAGGAACTCTGAATGTTCTTAGATCATGCGCAAAATCAACGTCACTGAAACGACTCGTTTTAACCTCTTCCATATCTGCAGTGATGTGTAATGGAAAGCCTCTAACTTCAGACGTTGTTCTTGATGAATCATGCTTTTCAACTCCAGATGGTTGCGAGCAATTTAGCCCGGTACGTATTATTATTATTATTATTTTTTATTACTGCATTTGATTTAACTAACTAATACCGGTTTCTCTTTGGTCCTTTTTATAAGATGTACATATATAATTGAATTATATATTTGGATCATTAAAAAGTTGGTTAAACTTGGTTATTAAAGACAATATGCAATAAAGATGCGAATTATTTTTTGAAAATACCCATACTGATATGGAAAGACAAATAGTGAGTGTGGATCAATAGGTAAGGAACAAAAATGGAAAAATGATACTGAAAAAAAATATTTCGCACAAGCTATTAGTATTTCTTATAAATAGAAGCAATTCATCCCTCAAGAGAATTCTCTTATGAATAATAAGGCAAGAGAAAGATAAGGCGGAACCAATATAGAAATTGTTTTGTGTGGTGATTATTCAACATAGTAAATTTGAGAAAGCGAGACTCACGAGCAAATGAGCGATATGCGTCACAAAATTATAAACCACAATGTAAATATATAAATTATAAATATTAAGAATAACATTATTTTTTTTATTTTTTAAACTACATTTTACTTCTTATCTTTAGTCTTCTACTTTTATTTTTAAAAATTTTATTGTCGTTTGTTTATAGTTGTATCTATATTTTTGTTACTATTTTTACTCTTTCTTATTTAAGATAGTTAATAAATAATTAAAAGTACATTAATTAAATTATAATAGTGCCGATCGCTAAACATTAAACTAGTAATTATTGATTTAAATGGCGCATCTAGTTTTTAATATGTAATGCAATTTTAATTTGTAAGTTTCTTATAATGTCCTTGGAATTTCTTGTTGTTCATAATTTTTGTTCGCAGGAATGGACAGGATATAAACTTTCCAAGACACTGGCAGAAGGAGCTGCTTGGAAATTTGTGAAAGAAAATAACATCGACATGGTTACTATCAATCCAGCAATGGTGATAGGACCTCTCTTGCAACCAACACTTAACGCATCGGTAGAAGCAATTTTAATTCTATTTAATGGTAATTTTATAATTTATCTTTAACTCTATTTAATGCTAATTTTAATTTATCTTTAGTCATATTTAATGGTAATTTTAATTTATATCTTTGGCACACTTTTTTCCCATCTGATAATGCTCAACATACAAACGATACAACTAAATTTTTGGTTAAGAGTGTTTTGTGGATGGTTGGTTATCTTCACGTGACCCAAACCTATCAAGTTTTTATTTGACTTTATGCGGCAAATGTCACCATCCTTGTGTCCTTTTCTATGATTGTGTCTATAGATACGCATTTAATTTTGTTTCCAAAAGAAGAATGAGCATGTATCTAAATACGCAAAGGTAGAAAAAACTTTGTTCTATTTACTTATATTTATTATGTCTAATTTTCTTTTAAAATTTTAGTGCGTGAATTTTTTTAAAAAATGATAAAAATTCACATAGATAAACTTTCAAAGTTATGTTAGACAATCATTAATAATAAAATCCACTTATGCAAGATTTGATAGGAAAATTACTTAATAAATTTAAATAAATGGACTTAAATTTTGTTTGATGATAATTAAGCATCATTTCCAACCGGACTACTCACACGCCCGCACTTCCCCTTTGCCACATAGGGATTTGATTCCCCAACCTCTTCAATAATAAGAGGGATGGGGTGATATCATTATAAGTCAAGGCTCATTGGTAATGTCCTTAATTATCATTGTTCTTTCTTGTAACTTGTAAGGTCTTCCAAAGTGTTACTTTTTGTTTGGATCGTCTCTATTATGTCAGATTTTTCAATTACGTATAATTATGTGTTTTATTTTTTTTCATATGGGTTTATAATTAAATTATAATATCTTAAAAAAAGGACACTTGATTAAATGTAACTGGTGAATTTGACATAATAAGGAGTCTTTAATGGGTGGGTAAGAATTGAACGAATGTTCTAGATATATTTTTTGTGTTGCTTCTCCTAATAAGGAGTCTTTAATGTTCATATATCCTTAATTACTTGATGTAGGTGCAAAGACATTTCCAAATAAAGTTTATGGGTGGGTCCATGTGAAAGATGTTGCAAATGCCCATATCCAAGCATTTGAAATTCCTTCGGCTAATGGAAGATATTGTTTGGCTGAGACAGTGAAACACTATTCTGAAATAGTACAGATTTTACGTGAACTATACCCAATGTTACAATTTCCAGACAAGTAAGTTCAATTATATATTTTATTGTTTTTAGTAAGAATGCATATATAAGAAAGACACACATACACATCTTGATTTCTTATTTTCTCCAAACTCCGTTAAATTAATTATATGTGTCCGTGTGTCACTTTTCTGCTTTAATGATTACCTATACTATGTAATAGAATATTTCTGCCTTCATTTGTTTAGGTTAATATTATCTTTAGCTTTTAAGATTGGCATCATTTTAGTTTTGATCTCTTAAATTTAAAACAAGTAGTTTTGTTCCTCGAGCTTTGATCTCATTTTGATTTCATTTTGTTAAATTTGAAACCAATAGTTTTATCTCTAAAATTTGACCTCATTTTATCTACTTAGAGATTAATTGTTGGTCCCTAGAACAAAGACTAAAACCAAAATATGGTCAAATTTTAGGGACTAAAACCATTGGTTTCAAATTTCAATAACCAAAACCAAAATCAAATCAAATTTCAAAAATAAAAACTACAAATTTTAAATTTGAGGAATCAAAACTAAAAAAATGTTAGACTTCAGGGACTTAAAATAGTATTAATCCTTCTTTTTATAAACATAATTTAACCAAATCATGCGTGTCAAGGCAGGTAGTTAAAATTAGCTCAAATAAATTATTGAACTTTTTCTTGAAGGTATGTGGTCATCATGATTTGAAAATTGAGGAAATTTAATAGAATGATATTGGGTGCGATGAGGTCACTTTTTATTCTTTATGCACATCTCTTCCTTTTCTCCCCTTATCTTTTCTGATTTTATTTTTCTTTTAGCTTTCCTAGAGAAAATGTTCGTGGCTGTTTGAACATTCTAGAGAATTCAGTATTTTGATTATTCTATGCAGGAGATTTCATTAAGTTTCTTGATTATGAATTGATCTTAATTCTTCTTCTTCTTCTTCTTCGTATCTTTTTTTTCCCCCCTCGCAAGGAGTATTTGATGTTATTTATCCAAATTAATTTTTTTTATTTATGTTGACAATTAATGTCGTCGTCTAATATATCTTTTAATTACTTTTGTTTCTCAAACTTGTTAGGTGTGAGGAACAACCCCTGAAGCCAACATATCGAATTTCTAAGGATAAGGCGAAGACATTAGGAATTAGTGAGTTCATTCCATTTGAAGTGAGTCTAATAGAGACGGTGGAAAGTTTCAAAGAAAAGAAAATGGTTGACTTTTAAATTGTGCTATATATATATATATATATATATATATATATATAGCCAAGTCATAATATATATCTTTGCGGAATAAATGTTGATTACAATAATCATGATTTTGTATGGGAAAAAAAAATTGTGTGTTTTGGTTCAAACCAATTTCTGTTATAATAATGTAAATATGTTTTGCTTGAGAAGACCTATTATTATAATATATATAAAGCTTGTATTGAATAAAAATAAACCAAATAGATACTATAAGTGGAAATGATGAATCCCTTAACAGAAGTAGCATAAATAGAATAAAATTAATAATTAGATTGTATTCATATACATCACATGAAATTTAAAAATGAACATATAAACATAGATAAAAATTAAATAATAAAACCAAACAGATCTTTTTATACCTTATATAAAGTTAGCCACCCGCATCGAATTTGGTCCACGGGCTTCGTTCCTTATTGCACGATGATAACAATAATTGAATGAGTGGGCGTTTACCTACTACGGCGATCCAATGTCGGACTGGGGCGTGGAATCCCATTAAAACAACCAACAAGAATATAATAAAAAAATCAGTTAAAATTACGTTTTTCTAACACGTAGATCCAATGTCGGACTGGAGCGTGAATCCCATTAAAAACAAACAATAAGAATATAATAAAAAAAATCAGTTAAAATTACGTTTTCCTAACACTTAGATCCAATGTCGGACTCGGGCGCGGAATCCCATTAAAAACAACCAATAAGAATATAATAAAAAAATCAGCTAAAATTACGTTTTCCTAACACGTAGATCCAATGTCGGCCTCGAGCGTAGAGTCCCATTAAAAACAGCGAATAAGAATATAATAAAAAAATAAGTTAAAATTAGTTAAAATTAACAAATTCGGAAGGTATATACTATCTTTTACCTTTAATATAAAAATTTAGTAACCAATTTACAGATATTAAAAAAATTATTTAAATTTATTATTTATAATAATTAGATATTATTTTTCTTAAAATATCCAATCAATCATATGTATTGAAAATACACTTTCAGAAGCTCTCTCAGATATATAATCGCAAATAGAATTTAGGGGCAAAATATATAAATATTAAAAATAAAGTAAATTGAGATATTACATTAAGGATAGAAAATATTATTTTCTTTTTAAAAATATGCCCTTATTATTTGTAAAGAGGTTAATAGAAACAATAAATAAAGAAAAAGATGAAAAAAATTGTAAATGCAAAATTAAAAAAAAAACTAAACTATACATTTGATCCTGTAACTTTGTTCAAAGTTTTAATTTGATCTATTAACTTTAAAAAAGCATACATTTAGTCTTTTAACCCTAAAATTATTAGACTTCAATGATATTTTTTTTATAACAATAATGAATATTTTGAAAATTAAACTTGAGAATATTTTATCAAAATTTAACATTTAAGATTTTAATATCATCATTTTTGAAAAAAATTTTAAGATTAAAGACTAAAAGCATACTTTTTAAAGTTAAGGGATCAAATTGAAACTCCATATAAAATTAAAGGACCAAATGCATTCTTTAGCTTAAAAAAACCATTGAATGTTGAAATAAACTCAAAAAAACCCCTTCCAAAATTTAGAGCTTATAAATAACAGTGAAGTGATCGAGGAATGGTGTGAAGCAAGAGGAAGTGAGGGCTAGCTGATATAATCATAATTAAGCAGCCTCGATATTCTTTCATTTCATCAGCCACTTTAATCCAAAACGATGGCACAAAGCAGCGACGCAGGGAAAGGGATGGTGGTGTGCGTCACTGGTGCTTCTGGCTATATAGCTTCATGGCTCGTCAAGCTTCTTCTTCTTCGTGGCTACACTGTGAGAGCCACCGTGCGTAATCCAAGTGAGTTATGCATATATTTCAGTTTAATCATTTGGTTGTTCTTTGGATGGGAATTTGTAATATTCTGATGATATTGTCTTTAATTACTAATGAAGATGATCCGAGGAAGGTAGAGCATTTGGTGAAACTGGAAGGAGCAAAGGAGAGATTGCAGCTGATGAAAGCAGATCTGTTGGAAGAAGGTTCCTTTGATGCTGCTGTTGAAGGCTGTGTCGGTGTCTTCCACATTGCTTCTCCTGTGGTTTATAGTGTCGACGTCGACCCTCAGGTTCATTTTATTCAAATTTAACCATCACTAACAATTATGGAAACAGATAAGATCAAGCTTCACCCTTAACAGCCTAGGCCTATGGTGAGGCTTATTGGCCTGCGACCTGTGAAAGGTTTTTTTTTTTTTTTTCCCAAGCCTGGCCTGTAATTAAACCTGGCTTGGCCTGTAGCCTATAATCAAAATTGGGACCCAAGAAATGAAGCAAATTAAGTACTATCCTTCCGATCCTAAATACAAGATTCATGTCACTCTTTTGGTCCTTAATATAAGATCTTATTGTTGAGTTGATTTTGATTTTAAATATAAAACATATTTCTTATATTTATAAGTTTTTTCTAAACTACCCCTATGAATCTCCATCATCCATAGTCAAGTAGAAGAGGAAAAGAAGATATTAAGGAAAATGATTATGGTATTTTAGGAAAAATATGTCATATTTCTTACAATTAACTAACTTACCTGACTTCCTTAATCTCATCAAATTAGTTAAATAAGTCTTATATTAGGGACCGAAAAAGTATAATACAACTATATTTGGGATCAAGGGAGTATTGCTGATCATCTGGATTTGGATAATCTTTGTTAGATCTTAATTACTCCCTCCCTCCCTCTTTGTAAGAGATGTTCCCTTTTACAAGGGATATTTAGAGGTTGTCTCGAATTTTGCTTGTTAATTTCTTATATCAATGTATTTCATTCTCACATATTCTTTTTTTTCCCATAAATGAGAATATTTTTTCATTAAAAAAATTATATATTTTTAGATTTTATATTTTTAATTAATTTTAACTAATGCTTCACGTAGTTTGGCCAATTGTTTTTGTATAAAAAAGAAGAGAGGGGTAAGAGATTTGACGGTAATTTTTTAAAGTGATGTAAAATTAATTACACCATTAAATGCGCGCTAATGACTAAGTAGCGTTGACAAAGATTGGTCAACATCGAGCCATCAACCGTTGGTGGGTCGATCATTGACATGCGCTGGAGCGGCTGTCATTGAATCATGCCTACAAATGGCATGTGTTTTCTGCCCAAGTTATCCAAACCATATATAAAGAATGAGCATTAAAATATTAATATTTTAAATATTCTTAGGAGCAGCTATTAATAATAAATCAAAATTTGGTATGGAATTATAATTAATTTACTTGCCTGTAATCCTATGGGTAAATTGTTCAGAGTTAATATCATTAGTCCTTAAAATCTTACCTCATCTTAATTTTGGTCCATAAAATTTAAAACTTAATGGTTTCAATGCTTCATATATTCTTGTAGAGACTACATCCATTATTTCAGGGACCAAAAATATTGAGGCAGAGTAAAATGAGATCAAATTTTAGAAACCAAAACCACTAATTTCAAATTTCAAGAACTAAACTAAAATAATATCAAATTTAAAAATACTTTTGCTTCTATTCATATGTCTTACAAAAGCAAATTAAGGGCATGTACAAAAGCAAATTAAGGGCATGTAAGGAAAATACTCCCTCTGATAATATACATTTTGTTGGAGGTCCTTAGTTTTTGTAAAAAATAAGATACATTTCAGTTTTGTCCGATCATTTAATGAGTTTTTTTTCCTTCTAATTTTACCCCTAATATATGCATTTTATTTTTTCTTTCGGCTATTGACTGTATATTCTGCATTATTTATGAGACATGTACACACTCCTCTCATCACCTTTATTCCCATATATTCTCTTTCTTTCTTTCTTTTTATTGCCTCTTTTACTCATTTTCTTCATTACTAAGGACATATTTGAAAAAAAAAATACATGCCTTGCATATTTATGAGAGTTTCCATAAATCATCAGAGGTTTGGCAATTAATAATGATAAGCTTCTAACTAAGAGCCACTCTTTTTTGAATGTTTCAGAAAGATCTTATTGATCCAGCAGTTAGAGGAACTCTGAATGTTCTTAGATCATGCGCAAAATCAACATCACTGAAACGGCTCGTTCTAACCTCTTCCATATGTGCAGTGATGTGTAATGGAAAGCCTTTAACTTCAGACGTTGTTCTTGATGAATCATGTTTTTCAATTCCAGATGCTTGCAACGAATTTAGGCCGGTACGTATTATTATTACTATCTCTAGTTCTAACTATAAGATCCTATTTATAATCTACAAACAAAATCTTATAATTAGGACTGAAAGAAGTATTATTTATTACTATGTTTGGTTTAACTAATTGATACTGGTTTCTCTCCAGTCCTTTTTATAAGATGTGCATAGTTGAATTTCATACGTGGATCATTACAAATTTGGTTAAAATTGGTTATTTGCTCCGGCATCTAATGACTTTGGAGGGAAGATAATTTTCATGGAGGCTTTTACATAGATTAAGAAAGAAGAGGATGTGAATTAATGATGTTAAGAGAGGATGGTGATTTTTTTGAATATAGGATGAAGGAAATATGGTGCAAGGCGTCAGACTGGAGGGATCGGTGAAGGAAGAGAGATTTTGGCGTTTAATTCTCCGTTCATTTGAATAGAGAAGGAAACGTGATATTTAGGCGTGTTTGGAGGGATTATTTTGATGGGAGACAAGAAAATTTTTATGAATGCCCATTAGTAATTAATTGGCCCACTTGATATTAACCATTGGATTGTGCTTAAATCCCAAGAAACATTCTTGCACCATTTGATTTTCTATATGCTTTTTTTTGACCTACAAGAATTTAAGTGCAACCATTAATGTAGATTATATCCAAATATAATATAATCTATATCAAAATTAAATATTAGATATGCACAAAAATTAGGCAAGAATTTGCAAAACTTTCTAAAAATCAATCTTTCTAAAAATATGAGACTTGTTTCCAAAGAAAGAGGAAAATATTAATTCCAAGTAAAAAATAGGAAATCCCAAAATTTTATATTTTTAATTCAAAATCTCAATTTTTATGCAAAATCTAAAAATCAACCAATTAATCCAATAATGCATAAAAAGTTTATTTAAGCTCAAAATTATTATTTAAATCCTAGATTAATGTGGGATAAAATGTATAAAAATTGAGTTTTATCAGACAATATGTATTAAAGATGAGATTTATTTTTTAAAAAATAACCTTACTGACTTATGGAAAGACAGATAGTGAGTGTGGATCAATAGTTAGGGGACAAAAATGAAAAAAATGATACTGAAAAGAAAATTTTCGTACAAGCTATTAGTATTTCTTATAAATAGAAGCAATTCATCCCTCAAGAGAATTCTCTTATAAATAATAAATTCTTAATTTTTGGGGCAGTGACAAAAGCCAACGCCAAGTGAAATAAGGCAAGAGAAAGATAAAGGTGGAACCAATAAAGTAATTCTTTTGTGTGGTGATTATTCAACATAGTGAATTTGAGAAAGCGACACTTAAGAGTAAGAGCAAATGAGCAATATATGTTATAAAATTATAAACCACAATGTAAGTATATAAATTATAAATATTAAGAATAACATTATTTTTTTATTTTTAAACTACATTTTACTTCTTATCTTTACTCTTCTAATTTTATTTTTTAAAATTTTATTGTCGTTTGTTTATAGTTGTATCTATATTCTTGTCACTATTTTTACTTTCTTATTTAAAATAGTTAATAAATGATTAAAAGTACATTAATTAAATTATAATTGAGTGGATCACTAAACATCAAACTAGTAAATATTGATTTAAATGGTGCATCTAGTTTTTACTATGTAATGTGATTTTAATTCATAATTTTCTTATAATGCCCTTGGAGTTTCTTGTTGTTTCATAATTTTTGTTCGCAGGAATGGTCAGCATATATACTTTCCAAGACATTGGCAGAAGGAGCTGCCTGGAAATTTGCAAAAGAAAATAACATCGACATGGTTGCTATCAATCCAGCAGTGGTGATAGGACCTATCTTGCAACCAACACTTAACGCATCGGTAGAAGAAATTTTAATTCTATTTAATGGTAATTTTATAATTTATCCTTAACTCTATTTAATGGTAATTTTAATTTATTATCTAACTTCGGCATACTTTTTTCCATCTGATTATGTTCAACGTACATATAATATTTCAAAAATAGGAAACATGGTCAAATATAATTGGTGAATTTGACATAATAACTATAATAAACTTAAGGATTGTCCTATATATGTTTTATTGTGTTGCTTCTCATAATAAGGAGTCTTTAATGTTCACATAACCTTAATTACTTGATGTAGGTGCAAAGACATTTCCAAATAAAGTTTATGGGTGGGTCCATGTGAAAGATGTTGCCGATGCCCATATCCAAGCATTTGAAATTCCTTCAGCTAATGGAAGATATTGCTTGGCTGAGTCAGTGAAACACTATTCTGAAGTAGTACAGATTTTGCGTGAACTATACCCAACGTTACAATTTCCAGACAAGTAAGTTCGTTTTCAATAAGAATGCATATATAAGAAGGATAGATAGATGTACGTATACACATACTCATCTTGATTTCTTATTTTCACCAAAATTTTTGTTAAATTAATTATATGTGTCTGTGCGTCACATATCTGCTTTAATGATTATCTGTACTATGTAATAGAATATTGCTCCCTTCATTTTTTTTGGACTAATATCATCTTTAGTTTTTAAAATTTAACATTATTTTAATTTTAATTTCTGAAATTTGAAACGAATAGTTTTGTTCTTTGAGCTTTGATGTCATTTTGATTTTATTCTGTAAAATTTGAAACCAATAGTTTTGGTTTCCAAAATTTAACCTCATTTTGATTTATTTAAAGATTAATTTTTAGTCCTTCTAACAAAGACCAAGACCAAAATAAAGTCAAATTTCAGGGATTAAAACCATTGGTTTCATATTTGAATGACCAAAACTAAAATCAAGTCAAATTTCAAAGATCAAAACTACAAGTTTTAAATTTTAGGAAACCAAAGTGACATTAAACTTTAGGGAATAAAAATAGTATTGACCTTTTTTTATGAACATAATTTAACCAAATCATGCGTGTCACGGAAGGTAGTTAAAATTAGCTCAAATAAATTAGTGGATTTTTTCTTGAAGGTATGTGGTCATCATGATTTAAAAATTGGGGAAATTTAATAGGATGATATCGTGTGCGATTAGGTCAATTTTTCTTCTTTATGCACATTTCTCCCTTTTTTCCCCTTGTCTTTTCTGATTATATTTTAGAGAAAATGTTCGTGGCTGTTTGAACATTCTAGAGAATTCAGTATTTTGATTATTCTATATAGGAGATTTCATTAAGTTTCTTGATTATGAATTGATCTTAATTCTTCTTCTTCTTCTTCATATCTTTATTTGTTTACCTTCCCAAGGAGCATATGATGTTATCTATCCAAATTAAGTTTTTATTTATATTGACAATTAATATCTTTTAATTTCTTTTGTTTTTCAAACTTATTAGGTGTGAGGAGGAACAACCCTTTCAGCCAACATACCGAATTTCTAAGGAAAAGGCGAAGACATTGGGAATTGGTGAGTTCATTCCATTTGAAGTGAGTCTAAGGGAGACGGTGGAAAGTTTCAAAGAAAAGAAAATGGTTGACTTTTAAATCGTGCTCTATATATATATATATATATATATATATATATATAGCCAAGTCATAATATATATCTTTGCGGAATAAATGTTGATTACAATAATCATGATTTTGTATGAAAAAACTTGTGTGTTTTGGTTCAAACCAATTTCCATTACAATAACGTAAATATGTTTTGCTTGAGAAGACCTATTATTATAATATATATATAAAGCTTGTATTCAATAAAAATAAACCAAATAGATACCATAAGTGGAAATGATAAATCCCTTAACAGAAGCAGCATAAATAGAATAAAATTAATAATTAGACTTGTATTCATATACATCACATGAAATTTAAAAATGAACATATAAACATAGATAAAAATAATAAAACCAAACAGATCTTTTTATACCTTATACAAAGCAAGCCACACCATGTGGGATTTGCTCCTCTCAGCATCCTTTTCCTCGGCATCCCAAAATCTTGTCCATCAAAATAATCCAACAGTTCACAGTACACCACGTCATCAAGCTCTCAAAAATGAATTTTGGCCTTTCAATAACCTTCGGTTGCTCTCTCCCCTTCTGGCGTCCTAGATATCTTCGGCTGTACAAAGATAAATGATTCACAATTTGAAGTCTAAAAGGGCCAGCTAACCTGATTGATGAATGAAGCCAAGAAAATACTCAATATAAAAACTAGATAATTAATTTATAAACATTAAAATAATTAGTTAAATTAGTTATTTATAATTATATAATATATAAAATTTGTTTTTTTTAAAATATATTTATTAATCCTGTGTATTAGAAATATCTCTTAATAAAAATTTCTTAATTTACTCTATGTAATTACCATAAGAATTATTTGGGAGTAAAATGAATTAAATATTTGAGATAAATTGGAGTGTGTCTTATATTTAGAACCAAATATATTAAAGATCAGGAGTAATAACCACCATACACTTAGATCAACTGGTAAGAGTTGTTCCAGCTTAATCAAGGGTCACAAGTTCAATCATTTGGGAACACAACAGTGTAGGTGGTAGGATTGTTGTCCATATGAGTCTTACACGGTTTAATCCGCATTATATGGTTTGTAATTCTTGAAGAGTTGGCCCTAAATATGAAATCTTGATCAGTTTGCTTTATCCTCCAAATATATAATTTCATTTTCTAAAGTATTTACATTGATTCCATATATTAAGGGGTTTTAAGGGCAGTCATGATTTAAAAAGATACTATAAGAAAATCAAGGTATATTAGCTAGAAATATTTAATTTGCTTAAATAATTTTTTTAATCTATTCAAACTAATTAAATAGAGATAGTATATATCAATACATTGTATTAATCAAACAGAGCGCCTCTACTTGGGGAGAAACTTTTGTTATGCTAATTGATCTCTCGTCTCTACTTGGAGTTGGAAGCGTGGTGATTTTAATTTTTCTTTCCGTCAAGATTGTTGGACGGAGGTGGAGGAGATTCAATGAAAATTTATTTTTAAGAGCTAGATAAATAATTTATCAAAATTAAAAAATTATTAGTTGACTTAATTATTGGTAATAAACGTACTTTGGTTTCTTTAAAAGTAAAATATACTAACTACTTCTCAATTTTATCTAAATTATAAAAACTTCTCCTCTATTTTGAAAACAGATAAAAGAACTTCATTAGAATTAAAATATATGTTACACAAATCTCCCTTATATGTTTGGTACTCCCTCCGTTTCTTATTATAAGAGACAAATAACCAAATTACGTTGATTAAAAAAACAGTTAAAATTAGTTGAAGATAATTAATGTGTAAAAAGTATAATATTTTTTCCAACAACGCCCCTATTAATAAGGAGAGAGAGTATGAGAGAGAACAATTAAATTATTAAAAGAAAAAGAAGTGGAAGGGAGAGAGAGTATGAGTTGGAGACAAAATAAATATGGGTAAAATAGGAAATCAATACAAAAAACTAGATACAACTTTTAAGTGTCTCTTATATATGGGAACATGCCATAAGCATCAAATGTCTCTTATAATAAGAAACGGAGGGAGTATTCTATTTCCATCCATCCCAATATTAATTGACTGTTAAGTTGGACCTTTTAAATTTTTATTTCAACTAAAATGCCCTTCAATAACATAAGAATTATTTAAACATTTATATCTGTTTTTATGCCAAACATTTTATATTTGTTAAAAGCTACTTTTTTATACAACCAAAAATAATTTTAATACATTTATTTTCAAACGTTCTAGTATGTTATAAAATTTATTAATTTTGATTATATTATAAAATTTTATAATTTTAATTTTTCATCATATCAATTCAAATTTATTTATTTAGGTTTCTTTTAAATGGCTAAAAAATTTAGATTTATTTTTTAATCATATAATATAAATGATGAAAGTTTTAGAGATTATATAAATAATTTAAATTTAATATTTAAAATTTTTAAACAAAATTTCTTACAAACATTTAAAAACATAGTTACTTAATTATAAATTTATTTAAAGAATTGATCAAATTTCTTAGGTCTACATTAACTAAGTTATTTAAGTTTTTGTGCCAAAAGACATTAAACAAATAAATATTATTAAAAATAAAAAACTTAAGAAAAAGAAAAAAAGCTTTTAAATATTTTTTAAAATAATTTTAGTTAAAATTAGAGATTTAGTATGATGAAGAGTAAAATAGTAAATAAAATTTTGGACTCGTTTAGGTTGACAATTAGAAGCATGCTTTATACAAGTCAAAATAAAATTCTTCTTATATATTTATTTCAACCTTTAACTATATATGACAAAGTAACTTGATATTATTAAAATACTATATATACTCATTTAACTCAAAATTTTAGAAGATTTTGACTATACATGAGAGCCGCAGGGGTGTTCATGGAGCACCAGAGCAAGGCTGCTAACGTTCCGTGGTTTACTGGGCTACCCAATCCGGCGACTGTAACAACGTTAATTGAATGAATGGAGACATTTTCTCATGTGTACAATTGTAGAATCCTCGTCGCTGGTCAAAGTTGATGACTACAAACGACAAACTAAATGCGTGGGAGATGCTAACAGGGTTGGGTCTAACAAAAATAACTAGTCATTCACAACGTGACCAATCAAGATTCAAATCCCTATTAGAAGAGGTGTCTACATTTAGTACCTGACAGTATCTTGAATAGAATTATCTTTAATAAGATGAGATCTATATTTTAGCAAGTGATGTGGATTAAATTTATGAAGTTTTTAAATTTTAACCGTATTAAAATTTTGCTTACTCTATTTACAAATTATTCTTATATTTTTGTTTCTTTCTCTCTTTTAATATAAAATTAAATAAGAATAAAATTAAAAAGTATTAAATATATTATAAGTTACTTATATTTAAAGTCAAAACTTCTTCCCTTCTCTTAGTAATTTATATTTAGGACCGGCATCATAAAGCAAAACGAAGCGGGGGCTAACTCATATAATTATAATTAAACAGCTTCAATATATAATAATTCTTTCATTTCGTCGCCCACTATATTAATCCAAAATGAAGCCGCAAAGCAAGCAAGGGTAATATGGGAATCCTAGGCAACGAGGAATAGGGAAGGTTGGGGCCAATGTTTTAAAAGCCGGACCGGAAGTCGAACCGGAAAGATCAACGGGTCATGGTTTAATCGGTCGGATCGGTCGGACCGTTTGGTCAGACCGGTGATGCAATAATTAATTTAAAACAATATTATATACATATAATTAGTATATATGAAAAATATCAAATTATTAAATAATTTAGAAATGCATTTAAATAATCTAAAATTATAATGAAATCATTGAAAATGGACTAAAACCTTATATATTTAAATTTATGTATGTTTAAAATATTTAATGATATTACAAATTATCAATTCATTCAAATCAAAATATTTTTTAAACGATAGACCAAATATCAAAACAAAAAGACTAGCGACTTACGATTTTAACACCACAATATATGAAATTTTCAATGAAATAATACTCTATGGTTATAAATAGTCTAAAAATATATTAGGATATTTAAGGGGATCAATTTTTTTATTTTTCTTCTATTTTTTTTTAAAATTTTTAGTATTTTTTCAGTCAGGCTAAAAAACCGTCTGGTTTTCTGAAAACCGTTCCGGTTCCCGGTCCAACTCCAGTTTCTGGCTTAATAACGGCTCAACTCCGGTCCAATCCGGCTCAACTATATGAACGGTTTTTTGGTCCAAACCGAGCCGTTAACGAGTCCGGGTCACGGTTCAACCGGTTCGACCGTCCGGTCCGGTCCGGTTCTTAAAACATTGGTTGGGGCTGCTACTGCTGCTGCTGCCAGTGTACGTGATCCAAGTGTTTGGCCGTAATTGTTTTCAACCACCCAAATGCATGAATGTAAATATGTTTCATTAAAATTAAAAAAAATTAAATCTAATTTTATTTTAAAATTTATTAATTTATTTTATTTAATATACACTAGTTATTCTTCCATTCTTATTTACAAAATAAAAAAAGAGTTTTTTTTATCTTATTTATAAGTTATTTCACTAAATTATAAACATCAGTATATTATTTCACACTTCATTTATTATTACACAAATTTTTTTATTTGTTAACTAAGTTAACGAGATTTATAAGGTTTTTTTTTTAATTTTAAGAAGATATGTTGAAACTGACTTATAAATAGAATCATAAGAATATACCTTATGAGAATAAAGCTAATAATAATAATAATAATAATAAATAAAAAAAATGAAACGTACTCCTTCCGTTGTTTTTTATAAAAAATAATTTCTCTCATAGTGGTATCTCTAAATATAAGAAACATCTTTTTTGTCTAAAATTTTAAACTTGTCTTTTTATTTTTACCCCATTAAATATATGCTACTTATTATCTTTCTACAATAAATTTTCACCTATTATCTATCATATACTTTTTTTTACAGATAAAAGTATAATTAAAAATATATATTACACATTTATTGCTTTCAACTAATATTTCAAACTGCTAGATTTGGTAGTTATTTCTTATAGTAAGAAGAGGAGGGAGTAATATTGTACTCCCTCTCATTCTTTTTATAAGAGCCTGAAATTTAAATTACTTTGGTCCTTTTTATAATATCTCATCTATGATGGTTTGAACATTTAATGCGTTTTTATTATTTTTGTTTCTAATTAATTTTACATATTGCATTAATTAAAAGATTGGCAAGTTGCCATATTAAATTTTTTTTTTCATATTTTTTCTCTCTTACTTGTCCCATATAAATAAAGGTATGCTTGAAAAAAAATTATTTCTTATATATTTATTATTTTTAATTAATTTTAATTATTTTTTAAAATCGGGTAATTTAGTTAGCAAGCTCTTTATAAAAAGAACCAGATACTACCTTATAAATAGAAATACATTGAATTTGTACTTATAATAAATGCCACGAAAACAAATTTTGATAAATATATCAATTTTTTTTACCAGCGATAAATATATCAATTAATAGGGATTCCCTCCATTTATTGTCATTAACTCATTGATATTCAATACGGTAATAATTACTACTACTTCCGGTCCTAATTATAAGACCCAGTTGACTTATTTGAGGAGATTAAGGAAGTAAGTTAAGTTGGTTATTTGTAATAAATAAGTGTTGTCATTCCTAAAATATCCTTACTAATTATTCCCTCCGTTCCTTATTATAAGAGACAAATAACCGAAGTACGTTGATCAAAAAAACAATTAAAGTTAGTTAAGAACAATTAATGTATAAAAAGTATAATTTTTTTCCAAAAATGCCCTCATTAATAAAGAGAGAGCATGAGAGAGAACAATTAAATTATTAAAGAAAGAGAAGTGGGAGGGAGAGAGAGTGTGAGTTGGAGATAATAAATATGGGTAAAATAGTAAATCAATACAAAAAAGTAGAGACAACTTGTAAGTGTCTCTTATATATAGAAACATGGCATAAACATCAAGTGTCTTTTATAATAAGGAACGGATGGAGTAAATATATTGGCTAAAACTATCATTATTAAAAAGATTATCTTGAAAAAAAATGCATAAATATAAGAGACAAAATAGATTGGGGTCTTATAATTAGGATCAAATAAAAAGTTAAACGGGGTCTTATAATAAGAAACGGAAGCAGTAGTATATAACAACACAGTCTCACGTTATTACTGCGTCAAGTCCAAGAAAAATTTTCTAGTATAAATCTCTCTTTTTCTCGCCAAAACTGTTTCACTCATAGTCAGATACCATCCATTGAACCTCGCCTGGCATTGAGAGAGAAAGAGAATGGAAATGGAAAGCAACGCAGGAAAGGGAAAAGTGGTGTGCGTCACTGGCGCTTCTGGCTTTATAGCTTCATGGCTCGTTAAGCTTCTTCTTCTTCGTGGTTACTCTGTCAGAGGCACTGTTCGTGATCTAAGTGAGCTCTCTCCTTCAATTCTATGACCACTCACCAGCTTTTGTGTTTCTTAACCACAATTTCTGGTGAAGAGTTTCCATCATAAAAGTCCTTAATTAGATTATTAGATACCATTTTCTTATAATAAAGCAAACCTGTTTGTTTTCAAAATGTTCTCTTCGCCATTTTTCTGCAGATGATTCAAACAAGACAGAACACTTGCTGAAACTGGAAGGAGCAAAGGAGAGATTGCAGCTTGTGGAAGCAAATCTGTTGGAAGAAGGTTCCTTTGATTCTGCAGTTGAAGGCTGCGAGGGCGTCTTCCACACTGCTTCTCCTGTTTCTCTTGCTGTCAAAGATCCTCAGGTTCATTTCTATCCAAGTTAATTATATACTACTGACAGAAATTTTTTATATTAACATATAATTTTATCTTTCATTTATTATTATATTAACTTAATTTAGATGAGATACAATATATATTAAATAGAAATAAAATTAAAAAGTTATTGAATTTTAAATAAAAGCTAATGAAGTTTTAACGTTTTTCTTGATCTGTGTAAAATATGCTGAAAGTGATTTATAAATAGAATTAGAAGAGTGGACAAAATTACAGATTGATCCATGTAATTAACTAATTAACTAAGCAAATTAATTTTATCTCCTAATGGCCACCTGAATTTGAATAATTTTTAATAGGTCTCAAGAGATCTGCTCTTTTTGAATATTTTCAGACTGAACTTGTTGAGCCAGCAGTGAGAGGAGCTATCAATGTTCTGAAATCATGTGCAAAATCACCACCAGTGAAACGAGTCATTTTAACCTCTTCCATATCTGCAGTAATGTGTAACGGAAAGCCTTTAACTTCAGACGTTATAATTGATGAAACTTGGTTTTCAACTCCAGATGGCTGCAAAGGAATTAGCCAGGTATATGTATAATTACTCCCATTTGGTTTCAACTAATAATTAACATTGGCGTAAGGTAATTTTCTTTTGATGCTTTTTATAAATATGAATCCTTTTCTCAGTAAGAATTTTAATCTTGGTTCAACTTAGACATTGTGAGGGTTTGAAGGTATGAGACCTAATTTCTATTGATAAATTATATATCAAATGTATATTATAAAGCTGCAAACGACTATGAAAGTATGTACACTATAAATACTTCGGAAAACAATTTTTTTATTTTTTTTAAAAAACTGAATTATTTATGACTTTTAAAATCACATTTTACTTCTTTTCTTTGCTCTTCTAATTTCATTTTTTTTAAAATTTTATCCCTTTCTTACTTAAAATAGTTAATAAATAATTAAAAAAATTAATTAAATTATAATTGAGCCGATCGCTAAACTCTGGACTAGCTAGTAACTATTCATTTAATGGCGGATCTATCAACTTTTGATATTTAATGTATAATTTTCTTATATTGCCCTTGGAATTTCTTGTTGTCTTGTAATTTTTCGTCCGCAGGAATGGTCAGGATATGTACTTTCCAAGACATTGGCAGAAGAAGCTGCATGGAAATTTACAAAAGAAAATGACATCGACATGGTCACTATCAATCCAGCAATGGTGATACTAGGGGTGTTCAAGGTCGGCCCGTCCCGGTCGGTCCGTTCCGGTCCCGGTTTTATTGGGACGGGACGGATCCGTTCCGAAATTTTTCGGGACGGGACAAAAAAGGGACCGGGACGGGACGGGACACGGGACGGGGTCGTCCCGTCCCGGTCCCTTTTTTTAAAAAAAAAATTAATTTTTTTAATTTTTTATATAATATCATTTTTTCATATTTTTTTTAAGATTTGAGACTATTGTATGGAATTATGGATATATTTATTTAGAGTTTTTATATTTGTTAATGATTGAGATTATTGATGATTAGAATTTTTAGCAAGTTTTATTGTGTTAAAAACTTTTGTTTAGAGTTTTTAATAACTATTATATGTAATATTTTGAGCTTTTGTTTAAGAGTGCCCAAACAAATAAAAAAGATGTTTTTATAAGATTTAAGCTCAAAAAAAATATAATTAAAAAAATCAGATTTTTAAAAAAAATTAAAAAAATTAAAAAAATTAAAAAAATTAAAAAATAATAATTTCGGGACGTCCCGGTCCCGTCCCGGATCCGTCCCGTCCTGACCGGGACCGGGACAACCTCGGGACGGGCCGGAACACGGGACAGAAAATCTGTCCCGTTACTGTTCACCGGGACGGAACCGGGACGGGCCTGTCCCGGTCCCGATCCGTCTCGTGAACACCCTTAGATAGGACCTCCCTTGCAGCCAACGCTTAACACATCCGTAGAAGCAATTTTAATTCTATTTAATGGTAATTTTAATTTATCTAACTTTGGCACACTTTTCTCAATATAATTATGTGATGGTTGGTAGTTTTTATGTGACGCAACGTATCAAGCTTTAATTTGACTTTATGAGCCGATTATCGCCGTCATCATGTCCTTTTCTATGATTGTGTCTTTAGACTGATCATTAATTGGCCCAAAAAAAAGTGATCTTTAATTTTTAGAGGAAATCACAAATAAAGACCCTCGAATTAGTAAAATCACTCTATGGTCACCTGAATATGCTAAATTAGTATGAGGGACCCGGTCTCAAATTGTAATTTGAAATCATGGCTAAATTACCAAAATACCGCTCTTTATTTTTTTTTTTTAAAGAAAGCCACTGCCTCACCGGAATCCGGCCACCGGCGCCGGAGCTCCGGCGGCCACTTCCGACCACTGTCGGCGGCCGGACACCAGGGTCCGGCCGCCGGAGCTCCGGCGCCGGCGGCCACTTCCGGCGGTCTTCCTTTGTTTTTTTTTTAAATTGTTTTTTTTTAAATTGGGGGGAAGTGAGGTTGGGGGGATTTGATCCCCCAACCTAATGCTTCCTAAAATAAGGAATGACCATTGAGCCAACAAATTTTTGTTAACATTATGATGCAAAAAAAAAAAAGTTAACTCACTTACTCTTGTTCCAGGTGATAACAACAATACATTTGGAAATAACAAGTTCTGATTGTAAAATAACACGTCTAGAATAAAATTTAACAATATGTTTTTTTTATAACAATAAATTTTATTGCAGGTATAACAACAATACATTTAAAAATAACAAGTTCTGATTATAAATAACAAGTTTGGGATTAAAATTTAATAACACGTTTTTTTATAACAATACACTTTGTTTCAAGTGATAACAACAATACATTTAAAAATAACAAGTTCTGATTATAAGATAATAAGTCTAGGATTAAAAATTTAACAACACGTTTTTTATATAACAAGGAATTATTTTATACTTTTAAAAAAAAATTATTTATAACTTATAAAAAATATTTTTATATATTTATTTCTCTAAAAAATACTTTTTAATCTGTATATCTATACAACTCATTATAAATCAAACTACTTCTTATAAATTATAAAGTATTTATAATAAGGCATTTTTGATTTATTAATCATAGTATAAATTTTATATTATTTCATTCTTTAAATATTAAAAATAGTTTTTATATTTAAGAATAAAATAGTATTTTTAATTATAATTAGAGATAAATTTCATTTATAAATTTAAGCAGTCAAAAAGTATTTTTAATCCACAATAAATTGTACCATTTATAATTTATAAGAAGTAGTTTGATTTATAATAAGTTGTATAGATATATAGATTAAAAATTAAAAAAAAAATTAAAAAAGTGTGTTGCCATTTTCCCTAAATTTTATTTATAAATTTGAACAATAAAAAAGTATTTTTAATCTATAAAAAATTATACTTCAAGTTCTGATTATAAATTGGAGATAAAAATTATTTTTTTAGCAAATTAAATAGATTACAAGTACTTTTTTTAAGTTATAAATAATTTATTTTCCAAAAGTATAAAATAATTAATTGTTATAAAAAAAAAGGTGCTGTTGAATTTTAATTCCAGACTTGTTATTTTATAATCAAAACTTGTTATTTTCAAATGTATTGTTGTTATCACTTAAAACAAAGTGTGTTGTTATAAAAAAAACATGTTGTTAAATTTTAATCCCAGACTTATTATCTTATAATCAGAACTTGTTATTTTTAAATGTATTGTTGTTATTGCCTGCAACAAAATTTATTGTTATAAAAAAAACATATTGTTAAATTTTTATTCCAGACGTGTTATTTTACAATCAGAACTTGTTATTTCCAAATGTATTGTTGTTATCACCTAGAACAAGAGTAAATGAGTTAACTTATTATTTTTTTTTTGCATCATAATGTTAACAAAAATTTGTTGGCTCAATGGTCATTCCTTATTTTGGGAAGCATTAGGTTGGGGGATCAAATCCCCCCAACCTCACTTCCCCCCAATTTAAAAAAAAAACAGTTTCAAAAAAAAAAACAAAGGAAGACCGCCGGAAGCGGCTGCCGGCGCTGGAGCTCCGGCGGCCGAACTCCGGCGTCCTGCCGCTGACAGTGGCCGGAAGCGGCCGCCGGAGCTTCGGCGCCGGTGGCCGGATTCCGGTGAGGCAGTGACTTTCTTTTTTAAAAAACAAAAATTAAAAAGGGGTATTTTGGTAATTTGGCCATGATTTCATAATTACAATTTGAGACCGGGTCCCTCATAGTAATTTAGCATATTCAAGTGACCATAGTCCATAGAGTGATTTTGCTAATTCGAGGGTCTTTATTTGTGATTTCCCCTAATTTTTACCCTCCCCCAAAAAATGAGTGAGCATATATATAAACATGCAGGGGGAAAAATACATGAAACAAAAAAAAAAGGTTAAAACTGGAATAAAGGAAGCTTAATAAAGAAACAAAATAAAGTCACAAAAAACCAATACTGAAACCATTAACTGACTCTATCTAAATTTTGCACCACCGTGCACTCACATAATCAATATAGTGAATAGGAGGCTCTTTCATTTTTGTTCACTCCATATTTTCTCTCTTAATCTTTTAATTAATCTACATCTACATATAAGCATTTGTTTCTAAATGCACGAAAAGAAATTTTTTCAGAATATATATATGTGTGCGCCATCTTTTAATTATATATTTGCTTCAAATCTGTGTATCTTTTAATTAAATATATTGTTGTGCTGTCTCTCATAATATAATGACTCTTCAATTCTCATATATCCTTAATTACCTGATGCAGGTGCAAAGACATTTCCAAATAAAGTGTATGGGTGGGTCCATGTGAAAGATGTTGCCAATGCCCATATCCAAGCATTTGAAATTCCTTCAGCTAATGGAAGATATTGGTTGGCTGAGTCAGTGAAACACTATTGTGAAATCATAAAGATTTTACATGAATTATACCCAACGTTACAACTTCCAAACAAGTAAGTTCAGTTGTATATTTTATCACTTCAACTGCTTTTAATAAGAATATAATGCACACATATATAAGAAAGATATATATCTTGATTTCTTATCTTCCCCTAATTTTTGTTAATGATTAAATCAATTATGTATATGTCATTTTTCTGCTTCAATGATAATCTATAGTATGTGTGTGTGCATATATATATCATTGGAGAATTGCAATAAGGTATTCTGAAAAAATTATATTCACAAAAAAATGCAATAATAAATCAGCAATTTGTAATGACAAATTTCAGAATAGAAAACGACAAATGGTTTTAACTGTTCATTTGTCATTGAGACTTCTTAATAATTATTTTACTTCTTTAGAACCTCACTATAATTCTCTCTCTTTTTTCTTTTTTCTCTTTCTATACATATTTTAACCAAATCATGCGTGCCAAGGGAGGCAGCAGTTAAAATTAAGTAAAATCTTTCAATTTTGTCAAAAAAATATTGTAGCAATCTGAAAATACCTAATATATAAAAGTGATGTCCCCTCAGAAGAGACGTAAAAAGTCTTTGCTGCAATAGTACCCAATTATATGTATAACTGATTATTGTCACCTTTCTATTCATCTTGTTTTCTCGAAGTTTATATGGAAATCAACTGAGCATGATGTGCACCTCTGCTCGCACAACTCATAAATTTTCACTCGTTTAGCCAAACTCATATAAACTTGATTTCTATTATAACGAAAACTAAAGATTTAATTAGAAGACTTTTTTATTTTGTAAATTGAAGTTATTTTAGTAGTTCATGATTTAAAAATTGAGGAATATAATAGAACCTACACCTTCTTTTTCAGCTTTCTTAGATAAGAATTCATGGTTGTTTGAACTTTCTAGGTTAGGTTCCAGTATCTTGATTATTATAAGGGATTGTCTTAATTCTTCTTTCTTCATACCTTGTTTGATCTCTCTTCCTTGGGAATATTTGGCCGTATTATTTATCCAAATTAAGTTTTTATTTAGGAAAAATGACATAAAAAGTTGAAAATTACAATATTCCAATTCAGAGGTCAAAATCCTTAGGGGAGGAAGTAGTACCTGATCTGATATTTTGTAAATATAATCAAATGACTAAAATATCCTTGTATCAGATTTTTTTTTAATGAAAAAGTAGTTATTAAACTTGTCGTTATAAGTACATTTCTTGTCATTAGTTGTTCAACACTTGTTATTGTGAGTTTACAGCTTATTAATAAAGAACTTGTCATTGCCAGTATATCTTTTGTCATTTGCTGTTCAATACTTGTTATTGTTAGTTAACACATTGTTAATAAACTTTTTGAAACAAAAACATTTTTGTTATTTAACTGCTTTTACAAAATACCAAACCAGGTATCACTTTCTCTCATGAGATTTTAACCTCTTAGGTGCCTGAACTGAGATATTGCAATTTTGAACTTCTTTTTATGTCATTTTCCTTTTATTTATGTTGACAATTTCTAATATCTTTTAATTTCTTTCTTTCTCTAAATTATTATTAGGTGTGTCGATGATCAACCCTTGATGCCAACATGTCAAATTTCCAAGGAAAAGGTGAAGACGTTAGGGATTGAGTTCATTCCATTTGAAGTGAGCCTAAGAGAGACGGTCGAAAGTTTCAAAGAAAGGAAATTTGTTGATTTTTAATTAAATTATTGTATTTATTACAATAATCATGATTTTGTATTTAAAAAAATTGTTTCTTTGGGTTTAGACCAATTCCTGCCGTAATAATGTAGACATGTTTATGTTCCATCAAAAAAGATGTAGACATGTTTATTGTTGTTTGAGAAGACATTATTAATTGTAATATATCGAGCTTGTATTAAATAAAAAAAAACAAATAGACACTTTGAAATAAATCCCTTATCAGAAGTAGAATCGATAGGGAAAACAATATTGATAAATTACACACTTGTGTGTGTGTATATGTCCCAAGGGATTCAAACTTATGTAGTTATATATCATTCTAGTCCTTATTATTTGTCACTTATAGAGAGGGGTTTTAGTCTTTTTTAATTTATTTGCCACTTGTGTCCTTTTTAATACTTCATTTTTAATTATCTGGAATTAATTATAGTAAGTAAGGTGAAGAGAGGGAATATAATACGTGAAAGAATATATTAGTATTTAATGCTCTCCTTAATAAGGGCAAAAGCGAAAGATTTCATCTATTTAATAATCTCCTTAGTATACAAGAAATACAAGTGACAAATAATAAGAATTAGAGTAACATGCATTATTAAGTAAACTCCAATTTTATTTAATACTCCTCCGGTCCTAATTATAAGACCCAATTGACTTATTTGAGGAGATTAAGGAAGTAAGTTAAGTTGGTTATTTATAATAAATAAGTGTTGTTATTCCTAAAATATCCTTGCTAATTAAGTATATTAGCTAAAACTATCATTATTAGAAGGATTATCTTGGAAAAAAATGCACAAATATAAAAGAGAAAATGGATTGGGTCTTATAATTAGGACCAAATAAAAAGTCAAATTGGGTCTTATAATAAGGACCGGAGGAGTACACTAGTATGTACCAAGGGATTCAAACCTGTAAATAGCGTAATTAAACTTAAGACTTGTTTGGAATCACAATTATAAGTACTTAAATATATTTCATGTAAATTGAGACAAAACTCTTCTCATATACTTACATCGTATTCCCTAAATCACAATTAAAAAGCTGTTTGTTAGACATTCTAAATAGGCTCTTAATATGAAAGTTTGACTTATAAATATTAAATTACTTTTGACTCATTAAATTAAATTCATGAGGCCTATTTATACTTAATCTTATAAATAATTTTCCCTTCTTTCTTCCTTACACACACAAAGGTTCAAAATATCAATTTCACTTACAGATGATAATATTTGGCTAATAAATCTCTTAATAACCTGTAACACCTCACATAATTATGTCAATATACGCAATAAAATATTTAATTTAAAAGTCCATACATATTTCTAACACTGCAAACAAGTCAAAATTTTAAAACATTTCTAACATAACTTAACAACATAAACTATTAAAGTCTTATAGTCATGGAAAATAAAAATATAACATAGCATGTGCTTAAGGAGTACAAAAGCCTTCACGGCTCACTCCATTGGGCCTTCCCTTGATTCCTACTAAATCCTTCGCCTGAAAATTGTTAATATAGGGGGGTGAGATCAAACGTTTCAGTAACTACTGAAATTCTAACCTATACAAGCAAATCATATATGATAAAGCAAAAATATGTTTATATGTGTGTATATAAATATATTAAAAATCAGATTTGAGGCGTTCAATTCAATTTCTTTTTTTTTCTCTTTTCAATATATCCAAAAATAATGCAATATGCTGCCTCCCTTATATCACCGTCCACCCTTATACCGCTGACTGGAGCCATAGGCTAACGCATAGTCTAATAGGAACTAATCCATTTTACTGAATTATTCCAAACTCACCGATACGAGAGATATATCCGGTCAAAGATATAGAGCTCAAGTTCAGACTATGGCTCCCCTCCTTTGTGAATAGAGAGGTGTCACATGTCCCACAGCTCCAATGAATTCCTGGCCAAAGGAAAACATGAAAGAAGGGGCCCTGACAAGTGTCATCTACTGTGTACCGAGTGATGGCATACCACGTGGTAATTTTATATCCATGCAATCTCCTTCTATCCTTAGTCCAACAATGCATGTCAGATGCCAATACTATTACATCATAAATACGTCCTCAAATATATTAAAAATAAGATAGCAATAAAACTTATACACCATTTAATAGCAACTCATGACAATTCCATAGCCATCAATATATTTAATTATTAACCATAATTAACAGCAATAAATCTTAACAAAATCAAATAACATACCAAAACATTCATTTGAAAAATCACAATATTATATTTCAATATATAAAAATATAGTAAATTCATAATACAATCATACACAATTCACATGTACAAGAAAGAATTTTCAGAGTTACCTGGTACTCTTTAACTTACAAATATTCACACAAGGATTACTTTAAAATCTCAAGGGTCTACAAAATTACACATAAATATTTATTAATATAAACTCAGAACTACTCCAAAACTACTCTAAAATTCTAAGACTACCCTCTAAACCAAAATTACATAAATATATTAACTCTCGCAAATCTAGGCATTTATAATAGATATAATATTATTTTGAAAAATATAACTTATATAAAAGGCTATTTAAATTTAACAACTTACGTGAATATATTTTTAATACCCAAAATCTAAATATTTCATATTAAAATTCTCAATTATTTATTATAATCTCATTTAAAATTTTTTCTCAAACCAAACAACTTCTTTTTAAATTATAAACAAACTGTAGCTTTATCTAATTTCACAAAATTCTCAATTTACAATTTTTCAAGTCTTCAAAAATTATTTCAAAAATACATCTTTAACTTATTCAATATTTAAACTGATTAAAATCTCAATAATATATTAAATAACTCAAATAAATTATTTAACTCAAATTTAATCGGTAAAAACATATTACAAGCCTAAATAACAAATTTTTCAACTAAAATCTTAGTTTAAAATTCTCAAAGTAATCATTCAACAAAAATAAACCGATTAAAATTCCTTAATAATAGATTTTTAAATTTCTACAGTCATATATTGTCAAAATTCTATATTTACTTCATATCTAAACGGTAAAATTTTCTCTAAACTTGATAATAAAACTAATAATATAAAGCTCTAAATATATAGAAAATATTCATAAAGAAAATATGATGAAAAGAAGTAGTTTTGTGTACCTAAATTATCTCCAAAACTGTCAGGTACTCCGCTACTCAGCTCTCTCTCTCCTTTCCTCTCTACTTCTCACTCTCTTTTCTCTTCTTTCGCTTTCTCTTCCTCTTCCGTCTCTCTTTCTCTAGCTTGCAAAAAACAACCGGGATGAGGATATATATAATACTCCCACATGTAATTTTCTACCGTCCTCCTCCCAATTTCCACTTCCATCCGTACCTTCCCCCTTTTTTCTTCTTCTATCATTTACTACTACTCCTCCCCCAAATTCTCCTTTCATGTACTATACCCCATTTTTTTCCAACCTGCGTCCTCCCTTTTTCCTTCTTCAATTAATACTATTGCCAATTTTTCCACCTTCATTTACTATTCTTTCCCAACATTCTTCCTTCGTCTATTCCTTCTTTTCTTTTTCTTCTCTTCATTTAATACTCCTTCTCCTTTTTCAACCTTACACCACCCTTCTTTCCATTTTCTTTATTCTTCTAATTTACTACCCTCTCCCAAACTTCTACTTTCAAAGTCAAATGCCACAACTTTCCACCAAATTCGGTGGAAAGTTGTCTCTCTTCTCTCTTTTTTTTTACTAATAAAATATTATATATATTTTGATTTGCAAATTTTTTTTTTGAAAAGTATATTACATAACTAGTAAATGAAAGGGGAGGACTCTTCAGTAAATTATGTTAACATTTCTGTCTTTACGAATACGGAAGCAACAATACTTTTTTGCTAGGACAAAAAACACCAATTAAAATGTAATTATGGTGACTAAAATTTATTCGACAAAGATATTCTATGTTGCATTTTTAAAAGTTGAAAAATTTCTTCTCTTTGAAGCTTTCTATCATCTCCTTTATACTCACTTTAAATGGAATGAACTTAATTCCAAGTGCATTAGCTCTCTCTTTGGAAACTTGGAAGGTTTGCATGAAGGGCTTATCATCTGTGCTCTTGATAAGTTTATTGTGAAAGCAAAAAATTAATTAAATTAGTAATTATCTTAAATTGGATATAGATATGCAACTAGATATTTAAATTGAGAGTAACTAATTATAACTAGTACTTTCTCTGATCTTAAATATAAGACTCATTTTGTAGTGTAATTTATACTATAATTATAACATAAATTACACTACAAAACATGTCTAACATTTAGGATATAGAAGTATAACATTTTTAACTTTACACGCACACACATTCCTGCCTTCTAAAATTTTTATAAATTGAGAGAGAACAAGGTGAACAGTATATGATACTCAGCTATGCAAAGATTTTTCTTTAAAAAATTCATTTAGGGAAAAATAAGGTGAAAAATCTCTGACAAATGCGTTATTTACTTAACTACATAGAGATAGCCATCTATGATGATATACTGCTCCTTACTTAGAGAAAATTAATTACTATATTTAGTTAGTTAGGAGGTTGTTGTTTTATACTTATAATCATGACAAAATATCTTATATATGGATTGGATGAAGTATTACAGATTATAGACACATCAAAGAAGAAAAATGGCATATACTCATTCGGACATAAATATAAGATCTATTTTGTATTGTAAATTACATTATAAAATGGGTCTTACATTTAGAACTGAAAGAGTAGTTAATTTGATCTTGAACATTCTAGGAAAGATACCATGACACAGAAAATTGGGGTAGAAAATGGGAAGCCCAAATATATTTCATTAAAATTATAAAAAATATTCGGACACTCACTTATGTGGAAGTTGTAATGTTGGGAACAATTGACGTAAAATCTTCACAGTTTCTAAGTAATGTTTCACTGACTCAACCAAACAATATCTTCCTCTGGCTAAAGAATTTTCAAATGCTTGGATATGGGCATTTGCAACATCTTTCACATGAACCCATCCTAAACTAAAATTTGGAAATGTTGGTGCTTCTGCATTATATTAAACAAGAACCACAATTCCAAACAACAACAAAAAGATAGGAATCAATTAAATTGACCATATTTGTATAACTTTAATGAAATAAATCAAAATTGAAAGGAAAAAATTTATTAAAAACAAAGAATTTTTCATACCCCTCCAATCCTAAATA